CTTCCCTCTGAGACCCAGCTGTTAATCAAAGACACTCAAGTTGTTGGTTCAAAGCCATCACAGAATGTTGAGATTGATGCAAGTGAGGCAGAAGGAGTACCTTGCATAGTAACTAGCCATGTCAGTCTTGCATTTTTAGGCTTAGATTCGCAGAAACCAGAGAGTCTAACAGCAATTTCTGTAGATGGTAAAAAGACAGATAATTTAACAACAGTGCCTGCAAAGCCAGGATCAGGAACAGTTCAGACTCCCATTTCTCAAGAAAGTAAAATAGAATGTGAACACAAACCAGAATTACTATTAGACAAAAATAAAGTAACAGAAGTACAAGCTGCATGTGAAAAGAAGATCCCAGAAGATATAAAACATACAGAAGAAAGTAACCAGACTGGCAAAGAAACTGAATTTGTTGAAAGATCTCACCCTGCTCCAAAAACATCTGATCAGATTTCAAAGGATGATAAAAATGCTTTGCAAGAATTGGAGGCCAAAGAAATTCAAAAGGAGGCAGGAAATGAACCACTTCCAGACAGCCCTTCTCTTGAAGCTATTGCTGAAGCAGTAGCTGCTGCAACAACTCGTGCTGCTCTTGATCTGCTTGCAACCACCAACTCAGATACTCTTATTAAACCTCAGGAAGTTCAAGAGGCTGCAGGTAGCCCCAGCATCTCATCTCTACCAAAGACTGCCAATACTAAAGTCGTTCCAAGTGAGCCAGGAGAAGAGGCCAGAAAGCCAAAAGAACAAGTGACAGAAGCATCAAGATCTCAAACCCAAAGTGATGCGTCACAGCCCACCACAGTGTATGTAGCCACTATTACACACACACCCTCACCATCTCCCACATCCACTCCAGAAAAAGAAAAAACTCAGGAGTCTGTAGAGGCCGACCTGATGAAGGCATCATTGCCCCAGGGTGAAATTCCAGCTGAAACTGTGAAAACTAGTCAGTCTGATGCAGCCTCTCCAATGCCTATTTCTCAGGATGTAGTTGTAACAAAGACAGTAGAAGCTGCTCTTGCTGAGGCAGCGGAAGAAGTTTGTGATATGAGTACGAACAAAGACATCAAGCATCAGGATACTACTGCCACCCAGGACCGCCAAGAAGTCGCCACTGTTAGCCCAGTAAGGAGCAAAACAGCTCACGTGTAGCTAACACATAATATATACTAAACCTGAGTACACCTGTGATCAATAGTTGTACATTGTGCAGATTACCATTCTTTCATAGCCAGTGCAACACATGTTTCCAGCTGGCTTGTTAGTTTCCTGGTACTAATTTGAATGAATAACAGTTTTTGGCCATATTAGCCTTGGCTTTGTTTCTGTTTGCTAGAATAATATAAGAGTAGATTGGCCTTCTGTGAGGTTTTACATGTTTGCTGACAGAGAAGTATTTACCTCTCAAGATATATAGTATTATTTTTTCTTCTTAATTTTGTGTTTTGTTGGTAAGTATTTCTAGTTTCTTAATTGACTTTTTTTCTCAGTTCTTAGTGATGCCTTTTTTCACTTGTTTTAGTAGATTTAGGATGTAGAGTAGTTGTTGACATGATTGCATTTTTTCACAGAACAAAGTGGAATATTTAATTAACTATTGTTTGTATTTTTAAAATATAAAACATCTTGTAGAAATTGCCAAATATGTAGACAAATATGGTTGTTGGAGAAATTTTTGTATCTTGATATTTGCAACATCCTTTAGATGTTTATAAATGAAGAGATACTGCAGTTATTATTCAAGAGAGTGTAGTGTTCCTTAATGGTTATCCATCCTTATATAAAAAAAAATGCTGCCTAATAAATATAGCCTATAAAGTATTTAGTGAAAATAAAGAGAAAGTAGGCTTGGTTTTTTTAATCAAATTCCAAAATATATAACCTTTAAAAATACTTTAAAGAAATCACTGTCAGCATTAAGCAATGTAATGAATTATAGTGTATTAAAGAAGATTGCATTATACTTTTTATTATTATGATTATCATTACCATTAGAATGTGCCCTTTTTTGTAAATAATAACTGCAATAACTAAATTTTTTACCATTACTTACAATTTTGTCAGGAATATAATGTGCATATACACATTATATGATCTTTATCATATAAACCTCATATTTATCAAAATGTTTAAATATTAACAGACAGAAATTGAAGTATATACAACCTGTTGTAGGGAAGGATTTCAGATTTTTAAAGATAATATAATGGATATATATATATATTTTTGTTGCCTTTGATTCATTTTCCATTTTGTTTAAAAGAAAAAAAAATAAATGAAATATTGGAAAATAGTAGATGATGGCATAAGCAATCACTGTCTGGTTCTTATAACTGAATAAGGATATAGTTCATGATATGATACTTGGACTATAGTAATTAACATCAGTGCCACACCTGAAAAATCAAGCAGTACTATGAATTCATGATACTATGTGATTATTCATACAGTGACAAATTGTTTTATCAAATCTGGTTAGCATTGATGCTCTTCGAGTTTTTTTCATTTGCAGAAATAACTTTAATAAAGGCAGAAAGGGAGAGCAATTGCTTAAAAAGTCCAGAAACTTTTATTATAAAAACAGTAATTCAGTTGAAATTTTATTTTAACTGACTTATCAGTTAAACACATGTGACAAAGCTTTCCTTGAGATTTGTGAAATGTTCTTCACAAATCATTGGTGCAATATAGGGTATATAGGACCCAGACATGGTAATATGTGTAAAAAGAAATGAAACCCAGTATGAAGAAGAATTCTAGGTCTGTCATGCTTCAGGTCAAACTGGATCCCACATCAGACAGGGAAAACAGAAGGACATGTCACATGACAAATTTACTATTTTTCTCATCACTTTCGCTGTGCTTCATTTTGTAGTATATATACTTTTGGGTTTAGGAAGTTTTGTATTTTTTGTATACTACAACTTATATTTTTTTTAGTTATTTTTGGGCAAATTTTAGATGAAATGGCTTTTCTCTTGAATTTTGATGGCATATTCTGATATTTTCTGCGCTTTTGTAGAGATACATTTGCTTTTTTTTTTTCTCCCATTCATTTTCTTAGATGAATTTAGTAATGAATTTTGAGGCTTTATCACCCATGATTTTTCTTTGACAAATATGGGATACATGAAAAATTTTTGGTAAAGTATTATGTATTTTTGTTGTTTTTTCCCGTGGATTGTAAACCTGCTATTGATTTTAGTACACTGAATCACGTTAAAAGAAGGTCAGGTAATGTTACTCTTCTCTGTTTTATGTACTTTGTTTCTTTATAAGGACATAACCTCTCTACAATATTGTTGTTCTTGTTCGTTCTTGCATTTTGCTATAATTTTCATTTACAAGGTGAGTTTTATTTTCTTTATTTTATTATTTTTATTTGATGGTGTGCTCTATTTCATTTGTTTTTGGCAATGTTTTGTTTCACTTTCTATAACATGCCTCTTTTTTCAAGAGTGTTTTATCCTTGTGGATATTTTATCCTCTTCTTCCAATACTTGCTTATTTTTTTCCATTGACTGTTTTTCATTGTTTTTTCTCCTATGTCTCATACATTTTTCTTCTTCTTTTTTCTTTGCTTGAGATTCCTTTAACTGCATCACTTCTGTTCCTGTTGGTTTGTTCATTCACTTTTCCATTGGCTGTAAACTCAGGAAAATAATTGGTTGGCTGTCCACTCCAACCAAGGCCCCATCTTCCCTTGCAAGTCTTGTAGATAACATTTAAATTCATCCATCTTTTCATCTGAATAAGACCTCTAGAAATAGTCTAATTGTTTCTAAATCCTTCAGCCATAGCAGTACGCACATGCTTTTGCAAAAGATCTTTCTAAACAAAATTTATTTATTTTTTACCTTTTTATTTTTCAGGCAGGTATAACTTAATTTCTGTAAGGGAATGTCACACAGAACATGGTCTATAATAAATTTATCATAGCTTAAGATGGCTTAGCAGAGTGCATTATTGTTATTGATAACATAACCATTATTATTGTAAAGATTGTTACTGATGTTATTATTATTATTGTTAGCATTATTGTTATTATTATTATTATTATTATTATTATTATTATTATTATTATTATTATTATTACTATTATTATTACTATTATTAATAATATTACAATTGTTATATTATTATTATTATAATTATTATAATCATTATTGTTATTATATTATTATTGTTACTATTATCATTATTATTATTATTATTATTATTATTATTATTATTATTATTATTATTATTGATATCATTATTGTTATTATTATTAATAATATTATTAGTACTATTATTATTATTATTATTATTATTATTGTTATTGTTATTATTATTATTATTATTATTATTATTATTATTATTATTGTTATTATTATTATTATTATTGTTATTATTGTTATAGTTATATATGTATATATATATTTTTTTCTTCTTCTTCTTCTTCTTTTTTCTTTTTTCTTTTTCTTTTTTTTTGACTAGAGGACCCAGCATTGTTTTGTCTTTGGTGAGGTGAAATTCTGATTCTCATTTGTGACTGTTGATTTTGGAGTTCTAAATGATAATGAATATAAAATCTAAAACAGTTCTTCATTTCTTGAAGAGCTTTTCAGATTCCGAAGCTTAAGTTGTTACTGTATTCTGTATTGTACTGTGTGCTGTATACTGTATTGTACAATACTGTATACTATATGTTGCTGTATACTGTATTGTGATGTATACTGTATACCTTATTGTTCTTTTCTATGATGGTTTTAGTGCTCATAATTATCAGAGTACAGAAAATATTTCAAGCTTTTCTAGATGAATGTTGAGGTATATATAAGAGAATGATTTACATTTTTATGTTATTATCAAGTTTCTGGAAGAGGTATAAGCTTCTGAAAAGAACATAGACACATTAACGTTTCAGAGGATTTTTGTCACTGTATTCTCCAGACACAGGCCTAATTGTTTACATATTGAATATTGTTGTTATTAACTGAATAAATGAACTAATGAAAATAGATATAGTTGGTCAGCAAAATGTATTATTGTTATTTATTATAGAACATGTTTCCTACTTAAGACAATTAGGAATTCAGTATTTAAAGAGAGAGATAGGTGGATATACATAACAGTGCAACACTCAGTACCCTAAAATCTAATTTTTTTTGTTGAACTTTTTCCAATTAACAGAACGAAGATAGTCCGACGTCGAGCAAAGGATCAAGTCCAGACATGGAAGAATACGAAGTTATAAATAAAGGTGAGTTGATTCCACACCTGATTAAGAAAACTTTTTAAAGGAATGGAAGAAAGCCTATAATGACCTGCACTAAACAAGATAAGTGTAATAGACTCTTGTTATAATTTTCATTGATGTTTAGAGAAGAAAATAAGAGCAAGTAATTATATCATGGTAAGAAATTTATAATTTTCATTGATGTTTAGAGAAGAAAATAAGAACAAATAATTATATCATGGTAAAAATATAGGAAGTGCTGAGAACTGATATAGAACCATACTTTAAGAACTGATTGAAAAATAAACTCAAACTTTAAGAACTGATTGAAAAATAAACTCAAAATACAGGAAGTGCATCAGAAAAAAACTTAATATATAAAACAAGTGTATTAGTCAAATAGGAAAGTGTGACATGTCATTTTGCTAATAAAGTTGTTTTTGTGGGGTTCATGTCATGCTGTCTGCACAGTAATATATTTTTGCGCATTAAATAGGAATGTGAAAATGTAAACACATATTTTTTTTTACATATGGCTGTTTTAATTATCAGATGGAGAATATTTAGATGATTCTCTCTCTCTCTCTCTCTCTCTCTCTCTCTCTCTCTCTCTCTCTCTCTCTCTCTCTCTCTCTCTCTCTCTCTCTCTCTCTCTCTCTCTCTCTCTCCCTCTCTCCCTCTCTCCCTCTCTCCCTCTCTCTCTCTCTCTCTCTCTCTCTCTCTCTCTCTCTCTCTCTCTCTCTCTCTCTCTCTCTCTCTCTCTCTGTCCCTCCCTCCCTCTGTCCCTCCCTCCCTCCCTCCCTCCCTCCCTCCCTCCTTCCCTCCTTCCCTCCCTCCTTTCCTCCTTCCCTCCTTCCCTCCCTCCTTTCCTCCTTCCCTCCCTCCTTTCCTCCCTCCCTCCCTCCCTCCATTCCTCTCTCTCTCTCTCTCTCTCTCTCTCTCTCTCTCTCTCTCTCTCTCTCTCTCTCTCTCTCTCTCTCTCTCTCTCTCTCTCTCTCTCTCTCTCTCTCCTTCTCTCTCCTTTTCCCTCCTTCTCCCTCCTTCTCCCTCCTTCTCCCTCCTTTTCCCTCCCTCCCTCCTTCCCTCCTTCCCTCCTTCCCTCCTTCCCTCTCCCCTTTCCTCCCTCGCTCTCTCTCTCTCTCTCTCTCTCTCTCTCTCTCTCTCTCTCTCTCTCTCTCTCTCTCTCTCTCTCTCTCTCTCTCTCTCTCTCTCTCTCTCTCTACTCCCTCTCCTCCCTCTTCCACTCCCTTTTTCATCATTATTGACCCTTCCTTCTCCTGTTGTCGTTTTAAATCTGCCATGCATCATGTTCAGTGTCAACAACCATCATGATGTGGTCATCTTTTTTAAACTTATTCAAATTTTATATGTTAAAGGTAGCAGGCAATAATAGCATTACTGCTATTAAAAATACTTTCAGCTCTAGTAAGATCCGCACAATAATTAGATTATAGGTAAAATTTGTCCACCAGAGTAGTACATTAGAACTCTTTTTTTAATTGGTGTTAGAAGTACTGTAATACTATATATAATGAGGAATATTATAGTACTATCTATAATATACTACACTGTGTATTGCATTTCTTTCCAGAATCATTGGACACTCAGCAATGAAAGTTGCTGCAGTAGTACTTATGGTAGTTAATACACTGCCATTTTAAACTGTCCACCATAGAAAAGAGGGCTTTGGAAAAATGAAATAGTAATGTTTGAATATCATATATTCTAGAACTTTTAGGTCATTTAAAGTTTTAGAATATTGGTTCCATAAGGGAAATTAGAAATTAATAGGCAGGATATACTGTTACACTGCAGTTTTGTTAAGAAAGACTAATATTAAGAAAGAAATTTGATTATAATACTTCTGCAGTATGTTTCTTTGTATTTTTTTCTTCCTTTGTAAATTATGTTAGGAAGGAGTTTTTGTATTAGTCTGTCTGATGAGAAAAAAAACATGAATGAAAATGAATAATTTTTGTATTTTCTGTAATTAATGCTTCATTGTACATCTAAAAAAAATCAGAGGCATTTGAAAAATTATTTATTATCATTCATTCTCTTCTCTGGATTTGTCACAATAAACTCAAACCCTTTCATTTCTTGTTAATATGTTTGTTGTGGGGGGAGAGGGGGGGTGCCTCATTCAACTCCTCCAGTGATGTTGAAGAACTACACATGTTATTTCTGCATTAAGGCAAGGATATTTTTTGACAAAAGGTAAAATTAGATGCAAAAGATATTTTTTATGAAGTGTTTTAGATGTATGGATTTCTAGTGAGTAATCTCTTGAAGGACTTGGGAGCAAACTTGTTATTTTTGTTATTATTATTATAATTATCATTATTATCCTTACCTATTATTATCCTTCTTTCACCATAGTTAATAGGTGTGTTCTATATTCATTCCCTTGAATACTACCAGAAGAAGCAAGAGACAATTTTTTTTTTTCTAGAATTTTGTTTGATGAAAATATTTTTTTTCATGATCCGTAGATTGCTGGTTGATAGCCAAAAATACACTTTGACCTAAGGCTATCACATCTGAGGTAGTAAGAATGTTTGCTTTGTAATGCAGTTTCCTAAAAGACAATTTCATTCTCTGTTTTATAAAGTGTAACAACTACTGCTAATCATACATGCTTTTACTTATCTGTATTCATTTATACATTCACTATATGTTGCCAGCGTTCATATTGAACTGTACACTTACAAATATAATTCGAAACATCATGAATCTTTGTAATATAAAAAGATTTTACAATTTACTCTTATTGTTTTCACATGGAAAATAATCAGAGTCATTCTTATTCTGCTACCTTAGATTATACCAGTGTATATTGCAAATGAAGGATTATGTATGTGACATCACTGATCTTCACAATAGAAGAAAATAATATGTATTACAGATGTAAACTATCATGGTTTGATTTTTTTTTGAAGTATTTATGTAGATATGTAGCAAAATTGTAACTATGCAATAGATATCATTGGTCTGTAACCCCCTGATGGTAAGGACAAGATAATTTCCAGAAACAGTCAAAATATGTATATGGGAGTGTCTTATCAATAATGACCATATTAGTGGAAATTTGAGGAGGGTCTTCATCTCTGCAACCTCTACACAACTAAAATCATTATGCAAATATAGCCATATGCACACCAGCTATCCAGGGGTTAAGGGCTAAAAATGTAGTACCATTAGTGAATTGACTCTTATACTAACTTGTGTGTTTCAGATGAAGATACTGCTCACAAACTCAGAACACAGAGAGAAACTTCTGGTGGAGAGCCTGTCAATGATAAAGTAAGACAAGTCCAAGGAATTGGCATGTGTGTGTGTGTGTGTGTGTGTGTGTGTGTGTGTGTGTGTGTGTGTGTGTGTGTGTGTGTGTGTGTGAGCATGCATGTGTGTGAGATTGGCACATGTGAACATTTGGGAATATTTTAAATTCTTTTCTCTATAATAGTAATTGTAATAATCAGTGGCTTTTAGAATTTATTATAATGAATTCATTTAAGTGAAGACAAATTTTTCCAGGTGAATTTACACATTTTCTTGATATTTCCTGTTTTGCAGGTAAAGGCAGCCGAGTCAACAGAAGTATCGAGTCAAGCAGCCCAGCTTCATACAGATGAAGAAGGTGCATCGAAGAAAGAAACAGAGCCTCAGAAAGAGGAGAAAGTAGTGAAAGGTAAAGAAAGAAGCAGTTCTAAGGAACCCGAAGAAAAGAAAAGTTCAGATAAGACAAACGTTCACGAAGACCAAGGGAAAGATTCCACCTCTTGCCCTGTTGACGATTCCTCTACCAAAGCCACAGATCCACAAGCTACTCCTTGTATGCCAAGTGAATCTCTCGTAGCAGAGGAAGGCCAGACTGACATTGACAGTTCAACCTTGAAAGAAAGTATCAGCTCAGATAATGCTGACAGCGAGTAGATTTCGTAACTTTTTGTAGAGGTAATGTTAAAGATTTAAAAAAAAAAAAAATGTTTAAAGCTAAACATGAATACCCAGTAGCCACACTGTTATTTTTACTTCATGTCTAGATAGTGTGTATCTAAATATTTTATAAAACACACACACACACACACACACACACACACACACACACACACACACACACACACACACACACACACACACACACACACACACACACACATTCCTTCTCCCTCTCCCTCTCTCTTCTCACTCTCACTCTCACTCTCACTCTCACTCTCTCTCTTACTCTTTCTCATTCTCTTTCTCTTTCTCTTTCTCTCTCCTTCTTTCACACTCTTTATTTATCAATCATTCTTCCTCTACTACATACATTTGCACACATATATTTATACGTGGCTCACACAGTAGCACAGGGAGGGTATAGCACATTATCATGTTATTACCCAAAATAAAAAATGACCATAAATAAAATTTTATAAAGAAATGAGAAAGGATAACTATGTTTTAATATTAATGAGACTAATACTTTCTCATGAACTGTTTGGGCACACACTTATTCTTGCACTGTAGCATTTGTTAAGTAATCTGAAAAAAAGAGCTGTTTGCCGTAGCTGTATTTCAAGAATCAGTATTTTAAGTAATAACAATACACTCTTTTTAAGTTGACAGCTCCTTAGCATTTATGCATAGTACGTACAGGTATGGTATGTGATAATACAAGTAATTAAATATGCAAACTAAGTAAATCACTCTCTGAGCTGAGTTAGATCATTGTAGTGTGAGCCAGTCCAAGATTAGTGTAAAATGCACTCCACAGTATATGAAAATATATAGGCA